CTTTTGAATCCTTAATCATGACTAATATTATGGTACATATGTTTCAGAGGAATAGAGCTAAGAAATGAAAACTTTATGGATCTAAGCCAATACACATGAGAAATGTTCATTTATTTAATAAAACATTTTTATAATTCCTGTAAGTGTCCTTATAAATCCTGGTGTGCTTTAATATAGATGAGATTTAGTAACATTAGCTAATATTTCTCTTCTTTATTTTAAAGGAAAACATCGTAAAACAGGAAGAGATGTAGCTATTAAAATCATTGACAAATTAAGATTTCCAACAAAACAAGAAAGCCAGCTTCGTAATGAGGTTGCAATTCTACAGGTACTTCTTTATTTTTCATTTGGTGTCTATAAAATACCCCCTCAACTTCCACAAAACAAAGAAAAGTTATCCAAATATCTGTGGCATAGATATTTAGAAACACTTTAAAATTACTGAAAAGGCAGATTAAGCATCAAAGTACTGCCTGGGTAGTATCTTCCCCAAGTCTAGGCAGCAGTTGTTCTTTTTTATGTACAGAATTCTAAGTTTTAATATGTTATTACAACTCGTTAAATGAGTAATGTTTCCGCATTTGCTTATAGTGGAGATGCTAAGAGCATTTTGTTTTACATTGTAAATGACCTTGCCTTCGTAAACGTTCCTCCTTCATGCTATGATAATGATATGAATTGAGTATGTAACCGTCAGTATATCAGGTTAAATGAGTAATATATGTGTGAGAATCAGATCATCTTGATATTATTAGTGTCCTCTTTGTCTCTCACTGTAAGCCTTTTATTTAATATTGAATATGGTACTTAACTCCTCTCATTAATAACAGTCCCTTTTAAAATCCATAATTGGTTAATAAAAGGTATTATGTGGCATATATAATTTTTGTAACCATTAAAACTTTTTCTACAGACCAAAAGGAAATTGAGTAATTGCTTGCTAAATGTGGTCAACCTAGCTCTCCAGTCTAGACAATTTAGACCATTGATAAATACCTATTTGCATAAAACTGCCGTAATTCTCTATTTATCATGCATGCTGATCATAATTTCTAAGTCATAGTTTTATTGAATAATATTCATTTGAACATTGCTAATAAAATGAAACACGTTGCATTTCTTCATTGATTATTTCATTTAACTGCCATTTATTGAGTTACATACAATTAAAAGTTGAAAAAGTTGATTTTAGCCCAAAGGAGTGCAACTAAAAAATAATAACGGACGTTTTTGGGATTCACAATTTCTGAACGTGGTGTTTTTGTGCTTCTGGCCAACTAATATAACAAAGACCACTGTCACGTTGTTCTCTGGTTTTATGGGGAAGAAGATAACCACGGCTCTGAAGACGCCAATTCATAGATTCATAGCTCAGTGCTTGCTAATCAGTTACCAAAAAAAATTTATTTTTTTGTTTTGTTTTGTTTTTGTTATTCTTAACTTGGCAACTTTGAGCTGCAAATGGCTCCTGAAAACTTAGTAAATGACATCTTCCCAAACCTGGCCCCTNACACACACACACACACACACACACACACACACACTCACACACTCTTTAAAATGGATGTTGGACCTAGAGTGAACAAGGACCGGGTCACCAATCATAGAAGTTTGGATTGGTAGGAACTTAAGAGAAGGTAAAGTTATCTGATGTTTTTCCCTGACTTTGTTAAGCTGATACCATGGAGTGAACCCTACTATCCAGCAAAATATTCTTTAGTTCCGCTGCAGCATCCAGAATTCTTCCATCTCTGATGGAAGCCAGAATACCTGCTGTATCAGCATGGCATCCCTTGTGTTCTAAAACAATGAGAATGGAGGAGCATCATATCTCCTGTTAAGCCTTTTTATTTTGTTACAGACTACAGATCCAGCTTTACCTACTCAAGCAGTCAGATAAATTTAAAGAGGGTGTTTTCTGTTTACTACTTATGTACTAAATACCAGGCCCTGTGCTGAGTGCTGATAATACGTCATCTCCTTTGTTACTCATAACTCTGATGTAGATGTGGAAACGTATCACAAAACAGCTGCTAAACAGTCCCCTTCTAGAGTCTGAAATTGAGTGTGAGTCTTTCATGCACTTTGCACCATCAGATCTTATGTCTCCATGGGGAGGATGTTTTGATTCTATCAATCCTGGGTATTTCTAAAGTTTTTAAAAGATCCTGAATCTAACTTCTGTTTCAGCGGAAACGGCACTATTGGAGATTGGATAGCAAATGTATTACCCTCTTTCAAAATGACACAGGAAGCAGGTACTACAAGGTAAGTTTGGCTCTTTCCTTGATTGGAGTCTCATGCGCCCTCTACATAGAAATGTAGAGTATCGGAAACACAAAATACATCCAACAGACAAGATTGTTTTTGTGCTTGCTCTAAGATGTTTTTTCTTCTCTGTAGTTTACAAGCAACAAATTTCTGGGTAATCAGGTTGTGACCCCATGATAGCCATCTGCAAATTTCCAATTTCCCTGGGGAATGCTTCTGGTCCCATGGGATGAAGGCGGGGGAGGGGAAGCTTATTTAAGGAGTTTAGCAGAGATGTGTGATTTAACCACAAAATCCAAGGTCACACTCCATCCAGCTTTTTTTCTTTTTTCTTTTTTCTTTTTACATCTGTAACTTGCAGAACATCACTGGTTAAGAAACACTGTATGATTTCTCCACGCATTTCCAATATTCATAAGGAACACTTACTTTCCCCTAGAGGAAAATTTGGCAGCAATTTTCATTTTATCTGTCTACATGAAATAATACAGATGTGGCATAATGTATCATCAAGTAATAAAGCATGGCTGCAGAAGAAGTTCATAGTGAAAACAGTGTATACTTGCTCCTTCAAAATTAATGCAGGCTCAGGCATAGTTGATGTGATTCTCATGGCCACTTTACACAGCTCTTAACAGAAAAAGGAAACTTCATTAACTTTAAAATGAAGAATATGTTTTAAGAGTTATTTCATAGTCACTCCTGGAAGACAGTGTGATGATTAATTTTTTAATGTTAAAATTGTCTTAAAAGCAACTGCTTTTAAAAGCAATCTCAGTAGTTTTCTCACTAAAAGATTCACTTGGCTATATTATATTAACATGCATCAAATCAAATTATATGATTTGTTAGTGCCTTACAAAATAGTTAAAATTTGAAATCAGCCATGTAAACCCAAATGCATTTTGCAAGTGTTGTGATTCCACCTCACAGTTTTAAAAATTATCATTTATGTTTTAAGTCTTAGATTTTGATATAGATTCAAAGTCATTATTCTTATTGATCTGTTTTTCTTGCTACATGAACATAGTGAAAAAGTCACTTGAATTTTCCTAGGAAAATGAAATGATAAGGTTTCCCCTAGTAAAGGTATTTTTGAATCTTGCTTCATAATATTATGTGTTTTATAAAACCATTTTTATATAAATGATGGCCATTTGTAATGTCATTTCTCGCATGTCCCTGGAATGAATTTTATTTAAAAGTTTACAGACTTGCGATAAACTACATTTTGCATACTCTTTCTTTCATAGGAAATTCCTTTATCAGAAATTTTATGTCTGGAACCAGCAAAACCTTCAGCTTCAATTCCTAATGGGGCCAATCCTCACTGTTTTGAGATCACTACAGCGAATGTAGTGTATTATGTGGGAGAAAACGTGGTCAACCCTTCCAGCCCGCCCCCTAATGGCAGCATCCTGACCAGCGGCATTGGGGCCGACGTGGCGCGGATGTGGGAGGTGGCGATTCAGCACGCCCTCATGCCCGTTATTCCCAAGGGCTCGTCCGGAGGGGCAGGAACTAACTCGCACAGTGAGTCTGCCGCTTTTCTGACTGTGGAGCAGGGGAAAAGAGGCTCCTGAAGGGTGGTTTAGCTTATTGGATAACA